TTCCTTCTCTCTCAATCCTCGCCCAACGCTCAGACCCTCGTCACCAACACTTCCGCCGCGCCTTTCGACCTCAACTAACCCCGCCACCCCCCCTCTCTTTCCCCCTCTCTCTCGATCTCCCAGACCTCCCCCCTCTCTTTGCCGCCGCCGAATGGCGTGAGCCCCGCCGTCCACACGCCGCCGTCGAGCTCTCTCACCCCTTCCCTCCCACCCCTCTCTCTCAAGTACCCCTTCCATCCCCTCAATCTGTATTTTATAGTTATTTGATTTAACCTATTTTTTTCTAAATTCGACTGCAGTGAAATTAAACCGTAATACGTTCAAGGATTAGGCATAAAGTTCGTAGGTGCTGTTCTTATTTGAGTATCTTCCTCCTGCCCAGTTCAATGAGAGGCCAGTTAGTTGAATTGAGAATTTTGACGTTACACATAATGAAAGGAGTATTAGGCAGAACATGTTGTTAATGATGATTTGATTTTACGTTAGATCAATCAAGATGCAAATTTCAAGATTTGCTGCTCGAGTGGTTGAATAATTTTGAACTTATTCATTAGTTATGATACGCAATTGCAATAAAATTTTCAAATTCACAGTTAATTGTAGAGGTGATAAAAATTACCAGCACGGATACAAAACTGCCTAGATTTCCACAATACGTTATGTTCAAACACGTTCACAAATAGCACATCTTAAATTAATGAATCATAAAAAAGGAAATTACCAATATAAAATAAATAAATAAAGAGAGGCGTTAACAGTTTTTAGAAGTAAAAGAAATAGTGAAAAGAAGAAAGACAGCGACTATAAGAGTGTGAAAGCAAAAGAATACAGCAGTAGACAAGAAGAAGAAAAGAAGAATAGAAAGTGTAGATAAAATAAAAAATACACTGGTGAGAAAAAAAGGAAAATGATAAACAGATCAGAAGCAAATAATCCAAAATTATGCTCAGGAAAAAGTACTGGAAAATCCAAACCTAATAAATTAAAACCCTATAAAAATTAAGGATTAATTATATAGTTTAATTTTGCAAATCCAAATTATGGAAAAATCAAACCTAATAAAATATTCATATGAAAATAATATATAAAAAATGTACGGTCTAGGGTTAGTAGCGTTAGGGGTTAGGGTTAGGGTTAGGGGAGGGTGAGGGTTAGGGTTAGGGGTTAGGGTTAGGGTAAGGGTTAGGGAAGGGTTAGGGTTAGGGTTAGGGTTAGGGGAGGGTGAAGGTGAGGGTGAGGGTTATGGTTAGGTGAGGGT